AGTGAATTACGGTGTCGTGTTCCAACGGCTCGCTCTTTAGGAATGGCTTCACGGGGGATACGTAACGTCCACCATTTAAGCGGACGGTGTGTACCAGTACAGTGATCCCTCGTTTATTGCGGTAAATGGGGACCGGAACCCCTCGCGATAGGTGAAAATCCGCGAAGTAGGATTGGCCCCCTAGGAATTTCCGTATATGTGTGTGTGGGTACCAGAATGTTTAAAATATGTATATTTATACTTTATATATATATATTTTACTTAAATCTATTTAATTATAAAACCTTAATATTATACATTCACTCTCTCTCTCATACGATAGGTATTATGGTGTTCTACACTCACCAATGACAGTAGTATCTTGAGACTTGACTCCAGTAACGACGACGATGAAAATGACGATGACAATGACAACGATGACAGACCTGTGCAGTTCGATGAATGTGATGATGAATGATGGTGTTACTGCACAGGTATAATGAGGCCTTTAAATCAGTTCGAAAAATCCGCGATGCACTGAGGCCGCGAAACTTGAACCGCGAAGTGGCGAGGGATTACTGTAGTAGTAGAAAGTAGTCGCGTCCAACGGTTGATATGCCAGCCGTCAACAACCAGGGCAGCCCGCCAGATTCGGACCGCCGAAACACCGCAAGAAGCCACGGCACCGCGCCAAGTGCCGGGCAGTCACCGTGTTGAGCAAACTGCTCTAAAACTAAACTTAAAAATCATTTTATTAATTAAACTAAACTACCTGGCCACAAATGATAGCTCTTCATCACGTGGACGTTTCACAGCAGCCAAATACTCCATGAACGCGTGACGTTGATTCTAAATGTGGAGGGGAAAAACCGGAGGACCCGGAGAAAAATCTTACTCGACCACAGGGAGAGAGAGAGAGAGACGCAAACTACAAATAACACAGGCGTCAAGGTCAGAATCAAACCCACGACACCTCCTGCATACCAGGCGAGGGCGTTAACATCCACGGTCTCTTCCAGCCAGGTGGTGGTGGTGGTGGTATTGCCATTACGGTTATTGTTTGCTCAGTTAGGTATTCGCGGTTGTGCTGTAAAGCTCGTCGATGTGTTTTCGAATCGTACCAAGCTCCCGCCAACGTTCAGCGAAACGTCGGACATTGTGCCCGGAACGACACGCGGTATCGGAGAGCCGTGCATTGAGGGATGTTGATCAAATTTTTCCGCGGTAATAGTTTATTATGGGGAACCGATGTTCGGTTGTGATAATCACGCAACAGGTTTCACGTCAAACCCGTGTGAATTGTAGTTGATGCTTCAAAACCGCCTGGCACCCAATAACGTTCAAAACTTGCACAGTCAAATTCGTAGGTTTTTTCGGTAAAATTTATAAAAGTCAAATAAAATAAAAATCACGACGTTTCGGAGGCAACACAAGCTTCCGTCTTCAGGTGGAACCGTCACAGCCCGACAGCTGTATCTTTTTTACCTACGTGACTTTACCGAAAAAACCTAAAAATATGAATCCTTGCAGTCACGAAAGCTTCAAATCTAGAATTGCACGGTCAACTTACTGCGTACAAACATCAACGCAATCAACACGCACGGCCCTCCTCTGTCAGTCCACTGGTGCACGAAGGCTTTACCCACATCTTGCCGAGCATGGGACTCGTTTGACCATACTTCATCACGCTTTGTTACAGTGTGGGTCGGTGAAGGGCGTGAGGGTGGGAGGAGGGCGGGGGCGGTTTGAATTGAACTCTGGTGGGTCAGGGTTCATAGCGCAGCGAGATAACCACGGCGCCACCGCTCCACTCGTTTTTACACGAGCGTTGGGGTGTAGGTTTGTTCTAAAACATACCGTCGACTTCGCTGAAGTTGTTTGGCTCATGTAATCATCGACGACGTTGAAACGCGATGACATCAACGCGACCCCCGAACCGCACGGCGTCTGCCCACTTATTTTGCAAGGTGCCACACACTCATCTCGGGAAGCCATCAACTTACATTTCTAATTGCGATCGCGACTCGAAAACCTGAATTCTTTTTCTTTGTTTTTCTGAACATATTTCACCTGGATAATCTCTATCTCTTGATCGCAAGAGTAACAGTGCCCCCCCCCCCCCCCCGCCTCAATAGGAGAGTCTTGTCAATTGATACTTTCACGGTAAACACGTAATCGAGACGCGTGCAAATATTTTTGTAAATCTACCATGAACGCGGTGGTTATAACGCCTGTATTACGACGCACGCCAGCCAGACGCGGGCAATCAAAACGCAGAGGACTCATCGGCAACTCATGAACAACGAAGGTCTAAAGCGACCACCGCGTAAGGAAGAAGGTCGTATCCACGGTTCGCCATCTTCCCCGCCTAGACCCCAAAGATTCAAGTCGCCGGCAGTCAAGCATCGCGAGATTCCATTCTTGATAACAAAGATATATATTTTTACAATTTGGATGATGAAAGCGTTCACAGTCCTCCTCCAGCCAGGCTACTCAGCTTGTAGAGCGAGCGACTCGCAGTCAGAAGCTTGCGAGTTCAAATCACGGTTGGGGGGGGTGTCAACTAAGCCCATCATCCCTTCCCGGGTGGATAAAATCAGTACCACTCTGTGGGGAAGTCAATATTGGTTGTGCCGTGGATAGACTCGCCCCCACCGTCATAGGAATGTGGACTTTCCACCGTAATGCCTCAATGCTCATTTGAGCAGGAAATGTGGGACTCCCGGGCTGATCAGTTGCGGGAACCAAATCGCTTTCGAAATCGCGCAAACTTAGACGCAACGCCTGCCAACGGCTTTGTCCACATCTGAGCGAGAAGCTGCGCGTTTATGGAAATCTGGCCAAACCCCTCCACAGAAGAGCCCCGCCCCTTACCCGGTTAGCCCCACCCTCCCCCGCCCACACACGTCAGGACTGTAACGACCAATTGCGTGTTCACAATCAAGCACGTGATGAGCTACGAAGCAAGAAATCGCCGAGCAGCCCGTCGACTACTGTCAGCAACCGGTTGCTCGACTGCTTGCGACCGACAGGAGAGACGTAAGCGATTCAGCTGCACGCAATCCAGTTGTCGGGAGAGCACGCCGACCCATTAGGTGCATCACGTTCGAATAGACAAACATAAAGAAAAAAACTCCACAGATTCCTTTCGCGAGCGATTCAACGCAGGTTACCGCGGGCCTCCGAGAATCGGTGTTCACCTGCAAATCGACGCGATGTTACGCCACCAACCCACGCCGAGCCGGCTAACACCAACCATCAGCAGCGGTTCGGCAACGCAAAACCGCCCCAGCCACATCACCACCATCACCACCGCCTACCCACCCACCAATCCCTGACCTGCAAAACCTAATCTATATATATAAAATCGCAAATCTGTCTGTCTGTGTGTCTGTCTGTCTGTGTGTCGCCGGACCATACGCAGTTTCATTGGACGAAATGTGAGGGATTTGCGAGACACGATTGGTCCGTTTGGTTTACCACGGCGGTTGCCCCTGGCAACGGGTAGCGACGCATTCGCTGCGGGGTGGACGCCATTTTTAATTCCCGTAAAAAATATGCGCACGCATTAACACGCGACTCTGAGGTAAATTCATCAAAGTTTCACGTCCTCTTCACTCCCCCCCCCACCCCAATGTGTGCAATTACTATTATAGGGTCGGTAGATAATAAAATCATAGCGATTAGACAGTATTATTGTAGCGCGGGGGGGGGGGGGTAACGGCCCCAGTACCCAGCCTCAGCCGGGTGGGCAATTTAGGCGAGGCCGGAGGCTCTGCACAGTACTAGGCCTCGACACCCCACCCGTGTCAAGCGACGACTTTGTGGTATAAACTCGATATACCCAGCGTTGCCCGGGGGGAAAATACATTTAAAATCTTCTGAAAACTTTCAAACATTACATACCAATGAAAAAACAACTGTGTAATTACTTTTTAACCCGACGCGCCAAGAATCGATTCTTTAAATGTTGACTGTACAAATAGTCATTAAGCTGGGTGAGCGTACTGGCAGTCTATAATGTAGACTGTAGCCTGGTTATTAAGCTGGGTGGGTGTACTGGCAGTCTATAATGTAGACTGTAGCCTGGTTATTAAGTAAAGTGAGTCAATTTGTAACACGTAGGCTTTCGCGACCATTATTCATAAACAACGTTATTGGGTTTAGATCGCCTTATTTATTAATGTGTTGTAACCCTCCACCACCCGACACGGCCAATCAGTAAAAAAGTGTCACGTTGATAAAAGACTAATAGTTCACTGCTTTAGCCCACCATTGTGTTCAAACGTGAAACCACAACAATCTGTGTATATATATGTAAGCTTTTTAAGAAATATATTTTTCACCCGCAATGCCGCTCAAAGCCCTCCGCCCCCCGCCTCGATACAAAACATCGTCTCGTCAGGTCAGCGTGTGTCTCCCATTCAGGAGGGTTATAGCCCAGTGTTCTTCACTAATTTCAGATGGGTGGGGGGCGGAGGGGGGGCACTTTCGCCGAAAGGACAACATCAATGTGAGGGCCACCACACATGAAAGCATTGGGGTTTGACAGCGGCACGATGATGGGTGGGTGCTTTCACATTTGTCAGGCGGGCCGCACGTCAGGGGCAGCACTAAAGCCCACCAAGGTCTGGCCAGTGGCCCAAGGGCCTTGCAAATGAAGAACACAGATTCAAGTGTGGTGGTCAGCGGGGCTCGCACAACGAGCAGTGAGCGGAGCGCCGGGTGGCCAAAAACACAGCAAGGTGGCAACAGTGGAGAAGCGCACAAGGTGGTGCATCTGCCAGTCGTCCAAGTCTGTTAAACCACAACACTTGTCGTCCGTCCTGTGACCTCCTGCCACTTCGCATGGCCTCAAAGGGCACCTAGCCTGGCCCAAGCACGATGGCGACATCACCGTGTTGGCTGTGTGTGTGGGGTTGCGCGTGTTGTTGTTTCGCATGCGGTGGCTGCACGATCGTGTCCGGTCTGCTGTGTTGGTGGTTTGCGTGGTGCGGTTGCATGTGGTTGAGCACTCTCACCGGCGTGATCTCGTACTCCATGCGCGTCACCGTGTTGAGCATGAAGTCCAGGCTCTTCTGATTGGCCGGGTTGCCGATGGACACGGGCGGCGTGAGCGTGCTCATGGCCGACGTGATGGTCTACGCAGCCAGGGCAGTCCACCGCCACCGTAACGCAACCACCACAACACAACCACCACAACACACACACACGGATAACACCACCGCCATCACCACCGACACACACACACACACACCGCACAAGGGCACACACACAACACAGCAACACCGGGTTAGCCAAGCCATCTGCTCGAACAGGCAATCTCCTCTTCTTAGGTTTTTTCGGTAAAGTCACTTTTATTAATAATAATTTAAAAAATTTTTACCTACGTGACTTTACCGAAAAAAACCTAATAATATGAATCCTTGCAGTCACGAAAGCTTCAAATCTAGAATTAGGCAATCTCCTTTTAAAACAAGGATGAAAAATCGTGCACAAGCACGTGGACTCGCTCAACGCCCCTCGCGTTTTGCCCTCGGAAGTGCTTCATTTGCTTTTCGATTTAAAGCTTTCGTGACTGCAGGGATTCATCTTCTTGGTTCTTTCGGTAAAGTCACGTAGAAGGGAAGTAATAAAATAATAAAAATAAAACATAATAAAATAATTCTCACGACGGCTGCTTGCTTATTATGTTTAATTTTTATTATTTTATTACTTCCCTTCTACGTGACTTAACCGAAAGAACCAAGAAGATGCTTCATTTGCGTTCACAACGTTGCGTTTCTAAGACGAGTAAACGAGGCGGCATCGCACGTGAGCGCGACGTCACCGCCGTGGCCCGAAGAGGCTTAACCCCCCCACCCCCCCCCCCCCCCTTCTGCGTGCTCGTTTTGGGAAAAACGCCGATTACCAATGCGGCCACTTTTCCGTAGGGCAAAAGTCCGCAGCAGCCACGCAACTTTAGCCTCAACGTTGCATTTCGTTTAGGCCTCATCTCCACGAGCGTTATCGTTGACCCCATGTTAGACGGGCAGAGAGATGGCCGGACGGACAAGGACAACGTGTTGCTGCTTTCAACCTTAGTTGGAAAGCGTTGCAAAGGCCATCATCATCATCATCATTATGTTCCCTGTCATCTTGTTATACGGCTTTAGTAAACACAGGCGACCCTGTGATGTAAACACCCACTCAGATATTTAGCACCAGCGACGAAAGTTTCCTCTCATCGGCTACTAAAGTTTCCTCTCACCCCGCTTCGTACTGGACATCTGTAAAAAACAAAAAGCTTCATAAGCTCGTCGGATTCCTCGACTATAAATAAATATTCTGATTCCGATAAAGGGACGCCGCCCATGTGCCGATTTCACGGCACTGCTGTGAATTACGCCACACCTCGCTACCCCCCCCCACCACCCGTCCCTTCTGCAGGTGCCGTAATGTCAACCGCCAAAAGAACCACACTGCTCTCGCTCCCGCACCCTGAATACGCCCTCTCGCAGCGGGCTTCAGAGGACTTCTCGTTGCCAACACGGTGAGGTTATTCCTCAAGGATCACTCTCAAGTCTCATCACCACAAGGTTGACTGGACATCCGTGAAAATTGGCTTAATAGCTCATCGGATTCCCCCAGTATGAATAAATATTCTGATTCGGTGGCTTTGGGTCGTCTTCCATGGTCACCAATCCTCTGGGGGGTGGAGCCAGGCAAACGCAGGTCCCTGGTAACCCCCCCCCCCACCCCCATCCTGCCCATGTGTCTCAGCCATCACAAGGCACTTTCGCTCGTTTCAAAAAAACGTCACCTTCCGACTCGATCGGTTTCTGCTGTGCAAATACTTCGCATTGTTACCGAAGACAGCGGGCGAACCCTGCGCTCCGAGAAAAAAACACGGGCCCGAATTCTATTCCTGGTCAGAGCAAATCGTCGTTGGCGAGCGCCACGTGAACCGATTCCTCCTAGGAGGGACCCGCCCTGCACGAACCTGTGCTGACCGACATGGTGAAGTATAATGAAAAATATTTATAGATTTTACCCTTTCTGGCAATAAAAAAAGGTTAAGGCGTCACGTCTGCATTACCCACACATACCTATGTGGCAAAACATGCTCAAGCCGAAGGTGCATGGTCTTTGTACTGATCGCGTTTTGGCGTTCTCTGCTCTGACACTGGTGGTGAGACTCGGACATGAAGAAGGCAGCTGTCTCTGGTGTAGGCAATGCATAGAATTATCAAAGTATGCTTGTTTGCATGTTTTGCCACAAGCACGTGTGGTTAATGCGGACCTGATGCCTTGCGACAAGGTATCCGTTTGGTGTTTGAGCACCTTGACACCTCCTGTTTTATTGCCAGAAAGGATAAAACCTATTCTTATTAAATCATCATTTTGTTACCGGCAAAGAGGTCCCATAGATATGGTGAAGTATAGTCAAACTTTACCGTTAGGACAGGCTGCTGCGAGGCCAAGGAAGCCGTGACCCAAAACTACAGGTGGGTTCCATACTCCCCCCCTCTCTCATCGATATAACCTCTTGTGACAAGCAGCTCTCTTGCCCACTTCAGCAATTGTTTCTTGCTGTGGTTCTCCCACCTGTTGACGGATGCTTGTGTTGCACCCAAAACGTCGTGATTAAATTTTTTATTTTATTTTATACCTACGTGACTTTACCGAAAGAACCAAAGAGTATAGATCCCTGCAGTGACAAAAACTTAAAATCTACAGGTGGGTTGCCGCCACCACCGCCACTACCGCCGCCACCGCCACCCGATGTCACCCCAACACCTACCACGATGGAGTCCTTGATGTTCCTCTTAATGTCTTCTATCTTCTGCTTCTTCTCCCTGGAAAGAGAAGAGTGGAACGGGGGAGTCGGACGTCAGCGCAAGGCCGGCTGCTCGCTCACACCTCATGCACGCCACAGGCGCACAAACAGCCCACGTGGATAGCCTTTAAGTTTCGATTTAAAGCTTTCGTGACTGCAGGGATTCATCTTCTTGGCTCTTTCGGTAAAGTCACGTAGAAGGGAAATAATAAAATAATAATAATAAAACATAAGAAAATAATATTATAAAATAATAATACAAAATAATACTCTTGTTTTATTTTTTTTATTGTATTATTTCCCTTCTACGTGACTTTACCGAAAGAACCAAGAAGAGGAGCCTTTAAGTTGTTCGGGAAAGTTCTGCTCAAGGGCACCTTTGGAGGCCGACACGAAACACAAGGGGGGGGGGGGGCCAACACCACGCCCGGCTGCCTTTGTCTCCCGAGTGCCGATGTTTACACACTGCACCAGGTTACTCATTTAAGTAGACTGATAGGGTTTTTCCCCTTTTTTCTGGCAACAAAACTGACACCTTTTGCAAGGAATCATGTTTACATTAACCGCAATACTTGCAGTCAAATGCAAACAATAAAACAATACTATGATAATTTATGCATTGTCTTTGAAACTGATTGGTCCACACCAATCAGGCTCAAAGACAATGCATAAATTACCAGAGTATTGTTTTTTGTTTGCATTCGACTGCAAGTATTGTGGTTAATGTAAACATGATTCCTTGCAAAAGGTGTCAGTTTTGTTGCCAGAAAAAAGGGGAAAAACCCTATTAGTATATTTTGGTACTGGCAAAAGAGGTCCCATGATGGATACTCATTTAAGGTCGAGTCGACCTAGGGGAGGCCCAGGACCGGCTCAGAAATTCGTCACCGGTGTTGGCCGTGAGCGGGAATCGAACGCGGGTCACTGGGTTCGTACCGCTACGCTACCGCTCCCAACAGAAACACACACACGCACGCACTCTCTCTTAAGGGACGTGCACACCTGAGCTATGAATTGCTGAAAAAAATCGCTCTCAATATCGCGCAAGTCTTATCAGCCCGCAAACAGCTTGGTCCACATCTGAGCGAGTAGTTGCGCAACAAGGGCACGTCTCTTACAGAGCGGCCCGCGCCCCCCCCTTGTCTAGCTCCCCCCCGCCCCAACCACCTCCACGAGGCTTGTATCGACGAATCACGCGCTCCCAAATCGCCGAGCAGATCGCCGCTCGAAACGCCGAGTCCGTCTCAACGCTCAGGCGCGCTTTTACTCGCGCGCACACTGCCCCGTCCCCACACCTGTGTGGAAACTCGGCAGTTGCGCGGGGCGCTGCTCATAACGCACACACACCTGTCCGCACCTGCAAGTCAAAGGTTCCATTGGGGGCTGCTCTCAAGAACAACAGCCACCGCCGTTCGCCACTCGGTGGCAGCGATGCCACCGCAGCGTTTGTGGCCAGGTAGGTGCGCTTTGAGGCCATCATGTGACACGTCAAAGGCTCGGCGCTGGCAGGAGGTCACGGGAGACTGAATGAGATGGCTGGCAGGTGTGCCACCTGTGCTCCCCACTGTGTTAATAGCTCGCACACACACCTGGAAATAGCAGAGGGGCTGGCAACATAAAGATCCCCCGTGTACCCTTTGCCGGACTGCTGGGGCAAGTGCTGTTAGCGAGCACCAATGAAGGCTGGCACGGCACACGAAGGGGTGGGTGGCCAATACTACACCCAGCTGCCTTCGTCTCCCCAGTGCCGATGTTTACACACCGCACAAGGTACTCATTTAAGGCCGAGTCGACCTATGGGAGGCACAGGACCAGTTCAAATTTTCCAATAGAAACTGAACACACACATACGCTTATCCACACCTGTGACAGCTTAAACATAGGAGGCTCCCTCACACTCAGTCACGCCGACTTCAAGACAGGTCCCACCCAACACTTGGCTCCAACCACTTCCACATTTCCAGGAGTTCATCGACATTGTTCACGTGGAGGTTGGTGAGCGAGCCAGCGGACGGCTTCAAGGGGTAGCCTGGTGAAAATCTGAAATGCTGCCGATAGCAAATACCCGACACTGGCATTACTATTCGGTCCATGGATTGACAGGGAGATTCCCATAAAGGTTCAGACTTACATAAACAACCAGACTAGCATATAGACCCATAGACTTACAGCCTCACACACAGAACCTCAAGCGAATGATTGGAGCAGGCAGTGGCGTTACTATTGGGTCCACGGTTTGGGAGGTAGATTCTCAAAGAGATTCCTACACCGACTTAGACAACCATAGACTCACGTAGAGACCCATAGACATACAGCCTCGCACACAGAACCTCAAGCGAATGATTGGAGCAGCCAGTGGCGTTACTATTCGGTCCACGGTTTGGGAGGTAGCTTCTCATAGAGATTCCTACACCGACTTAGACAACCATAGACTCACGTAGAGACCCATAGGCATACAGCCTCACACACAGAACCTCAAGCGAATGATTGGAGCAGGCAGTGGCGTTACTATTGGGTCCACGGTTTGGGAGGTAGATTCTCATAGAGATTCCTACACCGACTTAGACAACCATAGACTCACGTAGAGACCCATAGACATACAGCCTCGCACACAGAACCTCAAGCGAATGATTGGAGCAGCCAGTGGCGTTACTATTCGTTCCACGGTTTGGGAGGTAGCTTCTCATAGAGATTCCTACACCGACTTAGACAACCATAGACTCACGTAGAGACCCATAGGCATACAGCCTCGCACACAGAACCTCAAGCGAATGATTGGAGCAGCCAGTGGCGTTACTATTCGGTCCACGGTTTGGGAGGTAGCTTCTCATAGAGATTCCTACACCGACTTAGACAACCATAGACTCACGTAGAGACCCAAAGACTTACAGCCTCGCACACAGAACCTCAAGCGAATGATCGGAGCAGCCAGTGGCGTTACTATTCGGTCCACGGTTTGGGAGGTAGATTGTCACAGAGATTCCTACACCGACTTAGACAACCATAGACTCACGTAGAGACCCATAGACATAGAGCCTCACACACAGAACCTCAAGCGAATGATCGGAGCAGCCAGTGGCGTTACTATTGGGTCCACGGTTTGGGAGGTAGCTTCTCATAGAGATTCCTACACCGACTTAGACAACCATAGACTCACGTAGAGACCCAGAGACTTACAGCCTCACACAGAAAACCCCAAGCGAATGATTGGAGCAGCCAGTGGCGTTACTATTGGGTCCACGGTTTGGGAGGTAGCTTCTCATAGAGATTCCTACACCGACTTAGACAACCATAGACTCACGTAGAGACCCAGAGACTTACAGCCTCGCAAAGAGAACCTCAAGCGAATGATTGGAGCAGGCAGTGGCGTTACTATTGGGTCCATGGTCCGAGATTGGTGACCGCAGTCGCAACTGCAGGGCAACCCTAAACGACGGGACTGGTGGCAGCCACAAGGAAGGAAACTAATCCCAGAGCACGTCCCGCCGAGGAGACGGAACAACGGAATCAACAGCATTAGCGCATTGGTGGATTTTTGCATCGCAGGATCGCGCTGAGAGAAGGTGGCGGCTTTGGGGGGGGGGGGTGAGAGGCATTCACCTAACAGTGGATTGATCATGGTAATGCCGATGACATTGCTGCTGCTGATGATGATGATATAAGCGGGCGAGTTAGCCACATCTGGACACTTGACAGCGGCCGCACGGGCTGAAGCTTGTCTGCTCGTGCAAGCACAAGCAGACTGTGCCATAGGCCAGGGGAAGAGGGTGGGGGTAGATGGGAGTTATCCAAAAAGTCTGCACCACCACCAGCACCATCTATGCGGTCCGAGCGCGGGGTTATCGGAGTAAGGATTCGCGACGATTCCGGGTCGCGGTTTCATTCGCGAATCGTTGTCATTTCTTGTCCACGCAAGGGGGTTGGGTGGCCACGGTAGTTCAGCGCACCCGGCCACCCCGAACACAGTTCAGTTCCTGGCCCACGAGTGACTGTCTATGTCTGTCTATAGTTTTCTGGTTCGATTTTATGTCGCTATTTCATTATACCTGATGATGATTGCTTGTGTTGCAATCGAAACGTCGAATGCTATTATTTAATTTAATTTATTATTTTATCTTTAGACGTGACTTAACCGAAAGAACCAAATAATAATTCCTGCAGTCACGAAAGTTCTAAAATTAAGATTGAATGTGGCACTTCAGCGATTTCTGGACACCGGTCATCGGCAACGCTTTTTGTTTTTAATCCAGTGTGTCGTACGATACGCGCACACCGACACATGTTGTACATACACACACATAATTATATACATATACAGCAATACAGTCACGTACATATAATTACAACGACAAAGATCCCCTCCACCCCCCTTTGTATAGCCTGAACAGACTGTTGGGGCAAGCGATGTTCGCGAGCAACTTTCAAGGTCGACACGGCACACGAGGGGGTTGTGGGGTGGCCAGCACCACGTGCGAGTGCCTTTGACTCCCCCAGTACTGATATTTTATACATGACACCATTTAAATCTGAGTCGACCTAGGAGAGGCCCAAAACCGGTTCGGATATTCGGGCGGGTCAACCTCGGGTCGCCATTGCTCGCAACGCAGCACGCTAACCAGTGCGCCACCGCTCCCAACACACACACATATATAAACATACAAAAGACAAAGATCTCCCCGTATAGCCTTAACAGACTGTTTGGGGCAAGTGCTGTTAGCGAATAGCGTCTATGAAAGCCGGAACGGCACACCAGGGGGTGGTGGGGGTGGCCAGCACCACACAGACACACCAATAAACTCTCTCGCAGATATCAACATACAAAGGCATAAAATAGAAATAGACACACAGCGATTGGCTTCGTGGCGAGTGCGCTGCACTATTGACCCGGCGAAAACGGCCGCTTGAGTTCAATTCCCGGCCACGGCTAACATCAGCGAGCGAGCGGTAGCTGCACGTGTCCGACCACATCCTACTAACCCCACCGAACTCCCACGTAGCAGCCACTGCCTTCACAAACCCGTAGTGACTTGCGTGGTGAAGTATCACACCTGTCAACCCACACGGTTTTTTTTACCCCATATTCTTGTACAGGGAAATAAATGTCTAATGTCCATACGGCGTACGGCCGTTTAAACACGGGCAAAAAATAATCATGCTTTTCATAACATAGTTTTTTTTTTTGGGTAAGATCGCTTAAATATGTGGCGTGAAACCCGCCACCACCCGACACAGACAATTAGTCAGAGTTGTCACGTAAACTAGTAATGAATGGGATTGTTTACGTGAAAACCCTTACCAATTGGCTGTCGGGTGGTGGCGGAGTTTAACGACACATTAATATTTACACGATCTAACCCATAAAAAAAAAAAACTCTATTATGGATGATATTGGACGCGAAAGCCTACGTCTTCTTGGTTCTTTCGGTAAAGTCAGGTAGAAGGGAAATAATAAAATAATAAAAATAAAACATCATAAAATACAATTCTCACAACGTTTCGGCCACAACGCAAGCAGCCGTCCTCAGGTGAAGACCAGGTCTGTCGGGGAGACAGCGTCTGAACAGACCTGGTCATCACCTGAGGACGGCTGCTTGCGTTGTGGCCGAAACGTCGTGAGAATTATTTTATTATGTTTTATTTTTATTATTTTATTATTTCCCTTCTACGTGACTTTACCGAAAGAACCAAGAAGATGAATTCCTGCAGTCACGAAAGCTTTAAATCGAAAAAGAAAGCCTACGTGTTAATCACATTTCGTGTCTATTTGTTCGTGTGTTTCTCCCTTGTCACGATGGGAACTTTGAAGGACGAACGTCGAGATTCATGCTGGCACGGGGGTGACCAACAAGGTCTGAATTGATCTGTAACAAAGTATGGCACCGAGAAGGGGGTTGACTGTTGTGAAGCATGGTCACATCACCCCTGTGGAGTGACAGCCAGCGGATTTTGCCACCGTATTGGCAGAGCGGTGAGCGTACACGACCGTGCCTTGCGTGGATCGCATTAACTTTTAACGAGCGCGCGTGCGGAATCGACGCGTGGCGATTCCGCACGCGCGCTCGAATCAATTAACGTAACAACAACTGTGCTGCAATCTGTACTCTGGAAGAGATCGCCGCGATGAATCGTTGGCGCACCGCAAGCCGCTGCACGGCATCGAGCCATCGATCGGCGATCAAACTCCCCGGCACGGCGAATCGGCGCGGTGGAATCGACGCTGCCCACGACCCATGTGACGTTGGGGGCATGCTACCCACCACGGCTTACACAGACCGGACGACGCACACAGAGAGAAGTCCCCGCTAACAATACAAACGAGACGGAAGAGCACGTGGCGCCGGGTGACGTCACTACTGTCAGCAGCAACACATTGGGCAGTGTGAAAGGTGAAATACCCCGTCAATCCCAACTCTTTTGTTTTCTCTCTCGCGACAAGTTGGGGAACGAACGTGCACACGGCACAGCTGATGCGTACAAAGGCAAAGATCCCCCAACCCCCCTATAGCCTGCAGCAGACTGTAGGGGCAAGTGCTGTTAGCGAGTAGCACCTATGTAGGGCAGCACGGCACACGAGGGGGTGGGTGGCCAGCATCACGCCCGGCCGCCTTTGTCTCCCCTTGTGACAATGTTTGTACACCGCAGCAGGTACTCATTTAAGGCCGAGTCGACCTAGGGGAGGCCCAGGACCAGTTCAGATAATCGTCACTGGTGTTGGCCGTGAGCGGGAATCGAAACCCAGGTTCGTAGCGCGGCACGTTAGCCGCTACACCACCGCTCCCTGCACGTACACACGCGTGTGCTCGCGCAAAGGTTGCGAATGCCACCTCGCACACACACACAGTACGGGTACACGTGGCTACGCGCAGCATCCTCTACGCACACGCGTGTACACCATGCACGTACACAAGACACGTACAGGCGCAGCACGTGCACACACAGCTCACGTGTGCACTTACAATGGGCGGCATACGCGGGCAAAAGAAAACAACACGAAACCCACCATGTTTGAGTTCACTACTACCCGCCTCTTACAGCCCCGCTTCGTGCACATATTGATGGCGGTGGTGGTGGCGAGGATGGCGGTGGTGGTGATGGCGGTGGTGGTGGTGGCGAGGATGGCGGTGGTGGTGATGGTGGTGGCGAGGATGGCGGTGGTGGTGATGGCGGTGGTGGTGGTGGCGAGGATGGCGGTGGTGGTGATGGCGGTGGTGGTGGTGGCGAGGATGGCGGTGGTGGTGATGGCGGTGAGGATGGTGGTGGGGAGGATGGTGGTGATGAGGATGATGAGAATGGTGATGGTAAAGATGGCAGTGGTGAGGATGGTGGTGAGGATTGTGGTGGTGCGGATGGTGAAGACGGTAGCGGCGAGGATGCTGAGAATGGTGAGGATGGTGAGAATGGTGGTGGTGAAGATGATGAGGATGGTGATGCTGAGGATGATGTGAATGGTGAGAATGGTGGTGGTGAAGATGATGAGGATGGCAGTGGCGAGGATGGTGGTGGTGAAGATGATGAGGATGGCAGTGGCAAGGATGGTGGTGGCGAGTGAACGGCCGGGTGAGGGAGATGAACCACTCACTCGGGGTCGAACCCGTCCACGTGTAGGATCCTCATCTGTTTCACGATGGTGCTCTTGCCCGACTCGCCCGCCCCTTCGGGAGACAAACAAACACACGCACAAAGAAGGCGTCACGGTCTGGGCACGATAATGATGAGGACGATGAGAATGATGTGGAGGAGAGGCAAAGAGATGAGGAGAGAGGTGGAGACATCAGGATGAGGAGGAGTAAGATGAGGGTAGGAAGGACAGCAGGCTGAAGAGCAAGAAAGAAGATAATGCGATGATAAGCATAGATGAGGAGGAATAAAGAATGCGATGATAGCATAAAGCGGGGAGAGTACCGAGGAGAGAAGGAAGAGAGGAGGATGAGAAAGGGGAAGTGGGGAGCAAGAGGAGGTCGAGGAGAGTGGCACGCGGCGAGGAAGAAGGACAAGTGATGCGAGGAGCCGCAGGGAGAGGCGATGAGGAGTAAGGGAGGAAGTAAAATAAGTTGTGGAGGGAATTACCGTAAGGAGGAGAAGGAAGAGGGTGGAATAGGAGGGCGATGAGGAGAGGTCGACGAGTGGAGGAGGAGGAGGACGGGAAAGGAAGAGGGGATGGGAGTGGGGGTGGGTAGGAAAGAGAGGAGGAAGAGATGGCCGGGAGAGGAAGTGGCGAGGAGGGGAAGACGATAGGGGGGGGGTGGGGGGGGTGGGGGAGCGTGTGAGCGAGAGGAGCAAGGAGGGGATAGATGGGCAACGAGGTAGATGAGAAGAGGGGAGAAAGACGAGGTGACCAGGCCTCTGTCTCCTAGGCTTGTGGGAGGTCGGGGGGTGTGTGTGTGGTGTATGTGGTGTGTGTAGTGTGTGTGTGGTGTGTGTGGTGTGTGTGTGGTGTGTGTGGTGTGTGCGTGGCAGGATGGCTGTTGTTGTGTGTACAAGTGTTGTGTGTGTGTCTGTTTTGTGTGTGTGTGGTGTTTGTGGTGTGTGTGGTGTGTGTGGTGTGTGTGGGGTTTGTGGTGTGTGTGGTGTGTGTGGTGTGTGTGGTGTGTGTGGTGTGTGTGTAGTGTGTGTGGTGTGCGTGGCAGGATGGCTGTTGTTGTGTGTACAAGTGTTGTGTGTGTGTCTGTTTTGTGTGTGTGGTGTGTGTGTGGTGTGTGTGGTGTGTGTGTGGTGTGTGTGGTGTGTGTGTGGTGTGTGTGTGGTGTGTGTGGTGTGTGTGTAGTGTGTGTGGTGTGCGTGGCAGGATGGCTGTTGTGTGTACAAGTGTTGTGTGTGTGTGTTTTGTGTGTGTGTGTGTGTGGGGTGTGTGTGGTGTGTGTGTGGTGTGTGTGTGTGTGGTGTGTGTGTGGTGTGTGTGTGGTGTGTGTGTGTGTGGTGTGTGTAGTGTGTGTGTAGTGTGTGTGTGGTGTGTGTGGTGTGTGTGTAGTGTGTGTGTAGTGTGTGTGGTGTGCGTGGCAGGATGGTTGTTGTTTGTGTGTACGAGTGTTGTGCGGGTGTCTGTTTATGGGTGGTGTGTGTGTGTGTATCTGCGTGTGTCTGTTTTGAGGGTGTGTTGTGTTTATACTGTAATGGGTGTTGTACGGGTGCCCTAATTGTGTCGGCGTCCGTGTATGAGTGTAGCGTTGGTTCTCCAACTGTATGGGTGTTTGTTGGACGAGTGTTGTGTTAACGTTGTGTGTGTGTGTGCAGTGTGGATGTGTGTGTAGTATGGGTGTGTGCAGTGTGGGTGTGCGCAGTGTTTGTGTGCAGTGTGTGTGTGTGTGAGTACAGTGTGGGTGTCTGTCTGAGCAGTGTGGGTGTCTGTGCAGTGTTGAGTGTGCATGTGTGTGCATGTGTGTGCACAGTGTGGGTGTGTGTCTGCAGTGTGGGTGTGCAGTGTGGGTGTGTGTCTGCAGTGTGGGTGTGTGCAGTGTGGATGTGCAGTGTGTGTGTGTGCGTGTGTGGGTGGGTGCGAGTGCAGTGTGGCTGTGTGTCTGCAGTGTGGGTGTGCAGTGTGGGTGTGTGCAGTGTGGGTGTGTGTGTATATAGTGTGGTTGCAGTGTGGGTGTGTGTGCAGTGGGCGTGTGTGCAGTGTGTTTGCGCAGTGGGTGTGTGTGCAGTGTGGGTGTGTGTTTGTGCAGTGTGGGTGTGTGTGTGTGCAGTGTGCGAGTGGTGCATGCGCCTCTGTGTTGTGTAGGCTGCTGTTTCATTCGTGTTGCGTTTCCGAGTGTGATTATCTGCTGCATGCACGGCTGTTGTGGGTGGCTGGCAGTGTACGGTTGCTGTACGCAGTACTGTACGTGTGTGTGTATGTATGCCAGTGTGTGTTGTGTACATTGTGTGTGTGTGTTGCACGGTCGGTCGTTTGTGTGTGTGTCAGTTGTTGTATGCGTCTTCAGTGTCGTATGCGAGTGTACACGCGCCGTGTGTGCACGTGTGCGCATAGGTGGCATATGCCTTGTGTGTCAAATCGCACTGTGTACGAATGGATGTGTGGGATTCCGTGCCTGCGGTCGTTGTGAGGTGTCGTGCTGTCAGTGTTGTGCGCCTGTGTGCGCGCGTGTGCTGGTGGACGATTTGAGTGTCGTGGTCTGTACTGCGTGAGTGCTGTGGCTGTACCGGTTTGTACTGCATGAGTGTTGTGGCTGTACCGGTGTGTACTGTGTGAGTCTTGTGGCTGTACCGGTTTGTACTGTGCGAGTGTTGTGGCCATACCGGTTTGTACTGTGTGAGTGTTGTGGCTGTACCGGTGTGTACTGTGTGAGTGTTGTGGCTGTACCGGTGTGTACTGTGTGAGTGTTGTGGCCGTACCGGTTTGTACTGTGCGAGTGTTGTGGCCATACCGGTTTGTACTGTGTGAGTGTTGTGGCTGTACCCGGTGTGTACTGTGTGAGTGTTGTGGCTGTACCGGTGTGTACTGCGTGAGTGTTGTGGCCATACCGGTTTGTACTGTGTGAGTGTTGTGGCTGTACCGGTTTGTACTGTGTGAGTGTTGTGGCCATACCGGTTTGTACTGTGTGAGTGTTGTGGCTGTACCGGTGTGTACTGCGTGAGTGTTGTGGCTGTACCGGTTTGTACTGTGTGAGTGCTGTGGCTGTACCGGTTTGTACTGTGTGAGTGTTGTGGCTGTACCGGTGTGTACTGCGTGAGTGTTGTGGCTGTACCGGTTTGTACTGCATGAGTGTTGTGGCCATACCGGTTTGTACTGTGTGAGTGTTGTGGCTGTACCGGTTTGTACTGTGTGAGTGTTGTGGCCATACCGGATTGTACTGCGTGAGTGTTGTGGCTGTACCGGTTTGTACTGTGTGAGTGTTGTGGCCATACCGGTTTGTACTGCGTGAGTGTTGTGGCTGTACCGGTTTGTACTGTGTGAGTGTTGTGGCTGTACCGGTTTGTACTGCGTGAGTGTTGTGGCTGTACGGGTTTGTACTGCGTGAGTGTTGTGGCTGTACCGGTTTGTACTGCGTGAGTGTTGTGGCTGTACCGGTTTGTACTGCGTGAGTGTTGTGGCTGTACCGGTTTGTACTGTGTGAGTGTTGTGGCCATACCGGATTGTACTGCGTGAGTGTTGTGGCTGTACCGGTGTGTACTGGGTGAGTGTTGTGGCCATACCGGATTGTACTGCGTGAGTGTTGTGGCTGTACCGGTTTGTACTGCGTGAGTGTTGTGGCTGTACCGGTGTGTACTGCGTGAGTGTTGTGGCCATACCGGTTTGTACTGTGCGAGTGTTGTGGCCATACCGGTTTGTACTGTGTGAGTGTTGTGGCTGTACCGGTTTGTACTGTGCGAGTGTTGTGGCTGTACCGGTTTGTACTGTGTGAGTGTTGTGGCTGTACCGGTTTGTACTGTGCGAGTGTTGTGGCTGTACCGGTTTGTACTGTGCGAGTGTTGTGGCCATACCAGTTTGTACTGTGTGAGTGTTGTGGCCATACCGGTTTGTACTGTGCGAGTGTTGTGGTTGTACCGGTTTGTACTGTGCGAGTGTTGTGGCCATACCGGTTTGTACTGTGCGAGTGTTGTGGCTGTACCGGTTTGTACTGCGTGAGTGTTATGGCTGTACCGGTTTGTACTGTGTGAGTGTTGTGGCCATACCGGTTTGTACTGTGCGAGTGTTGTGGCTGTACCGGTTTGTACTGTGTGAGTGTTGTGGCCATACCGGTTTGTACTGCGTGAGTGCTGTGGCTGTACCGGTTTGTACTGTGCGAGTGTTGTGGCCATACCGGTTTGTACCGTGCGAGTGTTGTGGCTGTACCGGTTTGTACTGTGCGAGTGTTGTGGCCATACCGGTTTGTACTGTGTGAGTGTTGTGGCTGTACCGGTTTGTACTGCGTGAGTGTTGTGGCTGTATCGGTTTGTACTGTGTGAGTGTTGTGGCCATACCGGTTTGTACTGTGCGAGTGTTGTGGCTGTACCGGTTTGTACTGTGTGAGTGTTGTGGCCATACCGGTTTGTACTGCGTGAGTGCTGTGGCTGTACCGGTTTGTATTGTGCGAGTGTTGTGGCCATACCGGTTTGTACTGCGTGAGTGTTGTGGCTGTACCGGTTTGTACTGTGTGAGTGTTGTGGCCATACCGGTTTATACTGCGTGAGTGTTGTGGCTGTACCGGTTTGTACTGTGTGAGTCTTGTGGCTGTACCGGTTTGTACTGTGTGAGTGCTGTGGCTGTACCGGTTTGTACTGTGTGAGTGTTGTGGCTGTACCGGTTTGTACTGTGTGAGTGTTGTGGCCATACCGGTTTGTACTGTGTGAGTGCTGTGGCTGTACCGGTTTGTACTGTGTGAGTGCTGTGGCTGTACCGGTTTGTACTGTGTGAGTGTTGTGGCTGTACCGGTTTGTACTGTGTGAGTGCTGTGGCTGTACCGTTTGTACTGTGTGAGTGCTGTGGCTGTACCGGTGTGTACTGCGCGAGTGTTGTGGCTGTACCGGTGTGTACTGCGTGAGTGCTGTGGCTGTACCGGTTTGAACTGCGTAAGTGTTGTGGCTGTACCGGTTTGTACTGTGCGAGTGCTGTGGCTGTACTGGTGTGTACTGCATGAGTGCTGTAGCTGTACCGGTTTGTACTATGTGAGTGTTGTGGCCATACCGGTTTGTACTGTGTGAGTGTTGTGGCTGTACCGGTGTGTACTGCGTG